CACCTATGATTGAGGGATACAAAAGGACAGCAAATAGGGCATTTAAAATAGTTTCAGATTTGCTTAGCCCTCTGACAGAACTTCGACTTTACAGGAAATTGGGAGACAAACTAATCACCACCACAGAGCAATCAGAGGAATCCAAAAGACAGACTTCTGTGCGGCAATCTCTTGAATTTCTGAGACAGGGCCATGAAAAAAGGGCCAGGAAAAAAGAAATGTGCTAGGTTAAGGGGTTGGCAAGCTCTCGCCCACAGACCAGCGCCTATTTTTGTTTGCCCCTGAGCTAAAAATGGTTTTACATTTTTAAATAGCTGGGGGGAGAAAGTCAAAAGAATAAAGGTATTTTGTGATACATAAAAATTATAAGAAACTCAAGTTTTAGTCTCCAAAAGTTTTACTGCAACAAAGCCACACCCATTTGTTTACGTAGTGTCTATGGCTGCTTTTGAGTGACGAGATCAGAGTATTTCCAATAGAGATCATATGGTCCACAAAATAAAAAATATATACTATGTGGCCCTTTAAGGAAAAAGTTGCCCAACCTCTGTGCTAGATACAAAACTGAAGGACATGCAAATGCATGACTCTGGATTAGATACTGTTTTGGACGTGAGCACTTTTGATCTTGGATTTCCCAGACTCCGGAACTGTGAGAAATATTTGTTTATAAGCTATCCAATCTTCGATATTCTGTTAGAACAGCCCAAATGGACTAAAGCAATCGAGGACATCGCCTTTTCTCTCAAGGTGTACATACCAAGTAGGTAGATTTTCTCTCCCAACCAAACCTGTATACTCTTTTCCAACTACCGTAACACTCTAGTCAACCGATTCCAGTCCGAATGCCACTCTGACCCCTTTCCACTCTGTTCTCCACCGGACCCAAATTTTCTTTCATTCATAAATCGAGACCATGATACTCTCAATCAGACTCCTCACTCTTAGGACAAAAACTGAAGTCCTGACATGGTATGATCTTGGCTCTGCTGATCTCTTCCGCTCATTCTCTACCATCCTCCTATCCACTTAGCCCCTTCCCCATTTCTCTCTGCTCCAGACCACCAGTCATTTTTCAGTTCCTCCAAAAGTACCACGTATCCTCTTGCCACAGGATATCTGCATCGGCTGTGCTGTTTCGAACCTTCTCTCTGCCTATTTTGCCTACCAACTCAGTCTCTCAGAGCTCAGCTCAAGGGTCACGTCCTCAAGAAAATCTTTTCTAACCCACCAGGGTAAGTTTTGTTCCTCACCAAACACCCAGAGAACCACGTTTCCTTTCTTCAGTGTCCCCTTCTCTGTAACTGTGGTAAAGCCATTAGTGCACTTATGAGGCTGCCTCCACCACTACACTGCGACCCGGTTTCTGACCCCCACTGATTCCTAGCATTCGGCACACTGGATGGCACAGAGACTTTAGAATGAATGAATGACTAGGTTGCTCAAGGCAATCAAAGACGAAGGACAGGAACTAGGATCCAATCCCTAGGGAAACAGAATTTATACAAAAGGGTGGCCAGAACTCCCCACCAGCCTGCTTCCGGGAACACAGGGCGGGAGGAGAATCCTGCTGAAAGAAAACAACTACACATAAATCTTAGGTGCCTAAAAGCCCCCAGCTGGGTGGCCCCAAGAGGTAGTTAGGTCACTAACTACTGCCAGCTGCTCTCATTGGCTCATGGAGGGGCGGGAGGAAGGGCTAGAACAGGAATCACCTAAAGCTGTGCTTCTCAAACTGGGGGCGTTCCAGAGTTTGTAACATTTCGAGATTTCCTGGAGCATCAATTTTACTTTGGAAGATTTAGAGAACAAAATACCTTAATTTAAAGAGAGCACTACATTATTTCAAACATATACACAAAACATCCAAAGAAATGTAAATGCGTCAAGAGTTACACACCACTCCGGTCACTGCTGGAAAATACTTCCATGTATAAATGTGTTAAACAACTAGGGAAGGATATACACCAAAACCTTGGATTGTGAGTAACTTGTTCTGCAAGAGAAGCAGACATTTCTAATAAATTTTAACTTGATAAACGAGCAATGTCTTGCAATACAGGTAGTACATGACACTGAACATCATATGATCACAGCTGAACCAATGATTCTTCTCTCTCTCGATGCGGGACTGTGGGTGACCTCTCATGCTCAGATGCTCAGTCTCAGGCCACGGTGTTTGGCAGAAATCAGTGATTTTTCAGAACACTGGAAGGTGCTCACAATTGGCACTAGTGTATTTTTTGTCACTTCAAAGCATCTATGGACAGTCCTTTGGTTTTCCATACAAGAGTAAGCTTCGGAATGCTCTGCTTCATTCTAGGTCAGGCTGCCCGCAGATATAGACCCTTCCCTCTGCTGCCTTATCGCTAGTTGCATTAAACACAGTAGATGACAAGAGTTTACTAATGCCGTACTGTAGTCAGCATCCATTAGTGATCGTGAAAGTCGTCCTACACAATAACCCTCCTCTCTCGTCTCCCTCACACCAGCCACGATGGTTTCCAAAGGTAAGTGGAGGTTAATTTATTTTTCTTTATATTTTGTATTTTCTTTTTTATTTTGTACTATATTACAAATCTTCTTCTAAGTGGAACTAATCTTCTGAGTTTCCATTATTTCTTATAGAGAAATTTGCTTTGATATACAAGTGCTGTGGATTACAAGCATGTTTCTGGAATAAATTAAGCTCCCAAACCAAGGTTTTACTGTACTTAAAAATTTTAACACCAGCTATCTCAGAAAAGTCGAAATGAAGATCCTACAGGAAAAAAGAATGGATTCTAATTACAACCACCTTCTTCAAGAAGTCTTTCCTAGCTTATCTGGTTAAAATTCCTTCATCGATTTTATCACCACAGTACTAAAACTACATATATTGTTTTACCCATCCCTACTTCCATTGAATGGTCACTGTACTAAGCCCCTGGGAAACAAAGAAATATTACTGATTATCTGTCTTAAAGTGTGGTCTAGTGGGAAAGGCAGACACATAAATATTATAAAATAATGTTTTAAAAGGTGTAGTTACAAAGTCTGAAAAAGGAAGCAAAAATCAACCAGGCAAGATGGTAGTCAGTAGGATATTAGAGGGAGAAGTGACTTTACGGTTCCAAACTGCCACTCTAAAACCTTGTCAGAGGCAAGAAACAGCATGTCCAAATGTTTCAAAAATAAGAGGGATAAGGCTGGAAAAGTGGACAGGACCAGAACACAAAAAGGTTTTGTATTCTATGTCAAGGTACGTCAACTCTCCTGAGGACAGTAACTGAAGGATTTGAAGCAGAAGAAAAATGTGTAAGTCTTGACTGTACATATCTCTTCGGTCTGAAAATTAACTGTGCCACTAGGTTCTTTCATAGTTCCACAAAGTTAGCACGAAGTCCTTGGTAAAAAATACTGCTCAAAATAACTGATTGGGGCACCTGGGTGGCTCAGTCGGTTAAGCAATCGACTCTTGGTTTCGGCTCAGGTCATCATCTCCCGGTTTGTGGGTTATAGCTCCGTGTCGGGATCTGCACTGACAGTGCGGAGCCTGCTTGGGATTCTCCCTCCCCCTCTGCTGCACCGGTGCACTCTCAAAACAAAGAAACATTTTTTTGAAAAGGAGAATTGACAAATGTAGTAAAAATAAATAACTCTCAGGTCTAAATTTATAATCCTGACCTCTCACACTACATTTCCGAGTGCCCAGTGAACGTCTTCGGCTGGATGTCCTATTAAGACTCTCAAACGTAAACCTAAATCACATGGATCTCGATACATCTCCTACCCATTGCCAGACTAATCATGCTTCCGCTCATATTTAGGTACTTATCCCAGCCCTGAGTCATCTCTGACTGTTCACGCTCTCTTACCGCCATCAACACGCTGCTGCGAAACGCTGCACACGGACATCTCTTGTATTTCTCTCTCCCTTTTCAAGCTTGGAAACGTCTCCCTAGCTCTCTCCCTCCCCCACCAAACCTACCGTAGCTATCAGGATTGCCTTATTAAAAGAGAGATGTGATCATTGCCATTTTCCCACCTTCAAGTAGCTGGAAATTCCACGATGACAAGAATCACGCCCAGCTTCACTCACTGCTGTAATAACGCACAGCCCAAGGTTCCTGGTGCATAACTGACACCCCATGATTTACTTAACCCATGAAGGTTAAAAGCCTTCAGCGAAGCTCCACTCTATACACAGTAAAAGTAAAGTCAGCCAGACATGTGAGTCCCAAGTGACCCTTCCAATCCTAGCTTTCACAATGTCTCAGGTTTTCCTAGGTGCCTGGTAGTAAATACTCTTCCCCCTTTGGTTCCTGTCGCATTCTCCCTCTTGTTCTACCGATGGTGAACGGATTATTGTACTCGTCAAGTAACAGAACTTGTTCTTCTCTCCACTATTTTGTGTCCTCTAGTTTTCTCCACCTGATGGTCATCCCAGCAGATAAGGGTCTTTGTGCCTTGAGTTCCTAGACCGGTGCCTGTCCCACCAGAGGCGCTCAGTAACTGGGATATGAACGCATGAATTAGTGAACGGGTCCCTTGAAGCTGTCATCCTCTCCGTCATGGAAGGGGAAGGGGCGGGAGGTGCGCATGGGAGGGAGGGGAATACAGTGAACGGCCTCTCTTTTTGTAGTTTCGCTTCCTCTTATAACTGAATAGAACACATACGTTGAAAAGAGCATAAATCGTAACTGCACAGTTTGTTAATTTTCACAAATGAGCGCACCGTGAAACCAGCACCCAGGCCGAGCACCAGAACATTAACGGCAGTCAGAAGCCTCCCTGCGCCCTCTTCCACGGAGTGCCCTTTCAACCTTCAAAAACCGGGAGCGCTCAAGTCCTGGTGCCTGGCCGCGGCGAGCGACGCATATAATCAGAAAAGCCCAAGAATCCCCAAGGCACTCACCCACAAACTTGAAGCGACTCATGTCTGCGGCCCGGCTCCTCCCCGGCGGAAGCGGAAGTGGCGTCCGTCGTCCCGCCCTTCCGGCCGCCCCGCCCCTTGGCCCGGCCTCCCGCTTCCCGGGAGTCCCCGCGGCCGCTGGAGGAAGCGGGCGGTCATGGCGTTCTGCGCGCCGGGTGCCTACCTGACCCACCAGCAGAAGGTGTTGCGGCTTTATAAGCGGGCGCTGCGCCACCTGGAGTCGTATTGTGTCCACAGGTGGGAGAGGGGGACCTAGGGTGCGGGGAGGGGATCCCGGGGATCCTCAGGCCTCGGGGGACCGAGCGGCTCAAGGACAAGGAGGACAAAGTGGGAGGCCGGCCGTAGGCCCGAGTTCGAATCCAAGCTTGTCGCCCCTAGCTGCGAGACCTTGAAGAGTTGTTTATCTGGCTTAGGCCTCAGTTTTCTGTTCAGGAATACCGATGGAAGGCCAGCGCTTACTAAATAAGAGCTTTCTTCGTGACCTTCTTGTTCTTAATATAAGCAACAGTAATATGTGCGTTGGTTTTTAGTTCTCAGAACAGCTCTAGGAGTCAGGGATTATTTAGCCTTATTTTGCAGGTAAGGAAATAGGCAGGGAGAGTAATTTGCCAAGTCCCTCCAGCTGGTGGCTGGGCCAGGATTAAAACTCAGGTGCCTAACCCTAAAGCATCATCAGTCTCTCACCCCTCGAGTCAGCTTTCCTCTTCAGCTTCATCCAGCCCTTTCCAGTATTTTCACATTCACATAATTCTTTACTAGCCATGTAATTCTCTTCTTTCTTCTCTCTCCATCCGAGAGTAGTCTTAGGACATAGTCTTCAGACATACAGATTTTCATGACCTGGATGCAGTGCATGGTGGGGTGGCAACCCAAGATGTGTAGATGCCAGGCCTCATCAGAATCCTAAAGCCTAGTCCCAGGAGAAGAGCTTCTGGGAAAAAGCTCTAAATGATGGGAAACCAAGTAGGTCTGGAAAAGTTGGGGAGGGTATCCTTGAAGCCCAGATCGCCCATTTGTGATTATTGGAAAGCCATTGACCTGCTTCTCTTTGCTAGACAGAAAGATGGCCAGGCTCAGTGTTGTGGAATTGTTAGTCTCTTCCCTGATTTTCCTCATCAATTCATCTGACAAAATTTGCATTTCAGGTTCTTTGCTGGCTACTGAATAAATAAAAATTAGTAAGTCCTCTTTCTCCGCTGTAGCAGCACATGGGTTAATGCGGAAGATGGACATGTAAACAGATAACAGAGAATGACCAGTCTTACAAAGATGAAGGATTCAGGTAACACTGAATCGCATCTGGGATTTTTTTTTTTTAATTCATTTATTTTTGAGAGAGAGAGAGAGAGAGAGAGAGAGAATCCCAAGAAGGCCCCCCACTGTTAGCACAGAGCCTGATGCGGGGCTTGAACGTAACCAGCCGCAAAATCATGACCTGAGCCAAAATCAAGAGTTGGATGCATAACCAAGTGAGCCACCTAGACTCCCCTGCATCTGGGAATATTAAAGTCCATAGTCATGGAGGAAAGAATGAAAGCATCTCCTATGATAACATTGACTCAGCGTTTTTTAACACTTACCTCCTCTCTTAGGACTTTTCTTTCTCCTTTTGTCCTCTGTGCTCTTTGTTCTCCATGGTTGCATCCCAGGTCCTCAGTAATTGGTGTATATACTTCAGGTAGCCTCATCTAATCATCTAGGACTTGAGTTACCACCTACACTCGCTTGTCTCTATAGCTGTTTTCCAACTGTTTTGTTCTTTGAAACTCAACTTGTCTTAATGCCTTAAAACCAGACTCTCTGCTGCCTCATTCTGATCCTTTCCCCAAATTCCCTGTCTCAGCTAATGGTATTGTTAGTAATGGCATTATTCAGCCACTCAGCGTTAAGTTTTAGAATTGTTCTCAAATACTCTCTACTTACCAACTCTGCCAGTGACACATGTACTTGAGTGCTGTGTATAATTGGATACTGATTTTTGTAAATTCTCTCCACAGTGTAATAATGTTAGTAGCTGACATTATTGAGCAGAGGAGGTACCAGGCACTGTCTGAAGTGTGTTTATATGATTTGGTTTGTCAGATCTTTAGGATAACTTTAAGATCTAGGTACTGTTACTAACACTTGTAGAGGAGGAACCCATGGCCTAAAGACATTACCCCCAGGTTACATGGCGAGTAAGCTAAGATTTAGTCCCAAGCAATTTGATTTCAGCAGACACTCTCATAATTCTGTAGCATAAATGTCTCTCTCCTGTCTCCTACCATCACGGTTGCCTGCTTCACACTCTTCTCATCTGTGGCTTGGATTATTGAAAGGCTTTAAATGATCTCTGCCTACCATTTCTTCTAGAACCTGACCTTAATTTGCCTACAATCCTGCAGTTAGTGTCAGAGTCAGGATTCAAACTCCTATGTCTCTGAATCAGGCAATAGAATTGTGTAACACCTCCCTTCCTACTCATCTTTGTGTATCCAGAATTTAGCACAGTACCTTGCACAAAGTAGGCGGAAATTCAGTAAGTTGTCATTTAATGCATGTTGAATGATCCTACAGAGGCTATAGTTTTTCTCTTTTGCAAATTATCTTTTTTTGTTGTTTGAATCTGCATTCTTTTTTTTTTTTTTGAGGAGAAAGTGGGGAAAGTGGTTAGGTTGTATTTAATACAGTGTTTTTAATTTTTGTTTAATGTTTATTTTTGAGAGAGACAGAGTGTGAGCAGGGGAGGGGCAGAGAGAGAGGGAGACACAGAATCCGAAGCAGCTCCAGGCTCTGAGCTGTCAGCACAGAGCCCAATGCGAGGTTCAAACTTAGAGTTCAGGAGATCATGACCTGAGCTGTAGTCAGAAGCTTAACCAGCTGAGCCACCCGGATGCCCCTAATACAGTTTTTTGTCCCCCCCCCCCGTCCGGGGCCTGGGGGGGGCAGGGGAACTGCGGAGTAAGCAGTCCTAACGATGTGGCTGTTCCATTGGCAGGGCTTGGGGAAGGTCCAGGTAGTCATGCTACGTAACCAGAAGGGCTTAGTGGAAGTACAGCCTCTTGTCAGGCAGTAATCCTGCTCAGTTGAGTAGATAACATTTCTAATCTCCAAAACCATTTTGATTTAAGGGACAAATACCGCTACTTTGCTTGTTTGCTGAGAGCTCGGTTTGAAGAACATAAGAATGAAAAGGATATGGTGAAGGCCACCCAACTGCTGAGGGAGGCAGAGGAAGAATTCTGGCACAATCAGCACCCTCAGCCGTACGTCTTCCCCGAGTCTCCAGGAGGGACCTCCTACGAGAGATATGAGTGCTACAAGGTGGGCGAGCATCGCGGGGGCAGCCGCAGACTCTGTTCCTCCCATCCTGAACCCTTGGCCCCAAAACCACCTGCCCCAGGGAGGCCAACTTCTTTCTGACAATTGCGAATACTTTTCCGCGGTGTCTGTTTCCTCTCTCCCAGGTGACATTTAGGCTTTTCTTTCGAAATTCAGCTCCAGAGTCTTGTGGTATCTTTTTGACAAACGAAGGGGCTAAATTACTTGGTGTATATCACCCACTTTTGCATCTTAAAGGTAACCGATTTGGGTTGTGCTCACTATTTCTGAGCAATTACAGGTAACAATTCCACGTAGCAGGAAGAGTGCAGATCAGGGAGCAGTGGTGCCGGCTCTCTTTGGACTGGCCTTGAGGTTTCTCGGCCCTGGGCTCTTTGACTCTGAGCTGCCCTCTGCTGCTCGCTGCGTTGTGCCAGAAACGGTCTGGTGTGTGCGGTGCTTCAAAATATCCCGTCAGTTTTGCCTTCTGCCTCCTGGGCAGGCCCTTTGGTTGGTACGTGCCTCCCTTGGGCCAACGCGGTGATTTCGTCTCCGGACAGGTTCCTGAGTGGTGCTTAGACGACTGGCATCCATCCGAGAAGGCGATGTATCCAGACTACTTTGCCAAGAGAGAGCAGTGGAAGAAGCTGCGGAGGGAGAGCTGGGAGCGGGAGGTGAGTCCTCCCCGCCTTTCGCCGCAGAGCTCGGCCCGCATGGGCGGCACGGGAGCACGCTCGGGTTTTGTTCCCTGTGCGCAGAGGCCCAGGTTCCGGTGATGACAGTCACCGTGGCCCCTTGCCTCCCAGATATACTCCTAGTATATCTAGATGTTCCTAGATGTGTTAAATGTAGCACTTACAGCTTCACGCAAACAGGTGGCGATGTGTCGCTGGTCTCTGGGTTTTCTGCTATTTTGCTTCTCCCCTCCTCTTCCTCAGTCCTTTGCCTGACCTGCTTGCCATCCCCGCGTGTCCCTAACTTTCCTCTCCATCCGTGCCTCAGACACTTTTCACTGCGGAGGTCTGAGTTACGTTTTTAAAAGCTGAGCGTTGCCATAGTGGGAAGGCTGTGCTGGAGAGGGTGGGAGGATGGAGAGGCCGGTTGGGGGTTGCACCAGGGCGGATGCAGCGGGTAGGGAAGGGGCCGATTCAGGATGTCATTTGGAGGGACATGAAGGCTGACTGGATGCAGCCATGAGGGGGTGCGTGAGGGACAGGGAGGAATCGAGAATGAGTTCCAGGTTTCAAGCTTTAACACCTGGAGTTTGGGTGATGATTTATTGAGCTGGAGAAGATGAGGGAAAAACAGGTGTCAGAGGGACAAGCAAGCGCTTGGTTTTCGGTTTGTTAAATTTGAGAATACTGTGAGACCCAAGTGCAGATGTCAGTAGGTGACTTTGGGTGTACGAATTGCGAACTCAAAGGAAAAATTTGAGTTTGAAATAGAAATTTGTGACATATCCGTTGTTTTGAAAGCTACAGAGTGGCACCTGGATGGCTCAGTCGTTTGGGTGGCCGACTTCAGCTCAGGTCATGATCTCACGGTCTGAGTTCGAGCCCCACATCGGGCTCTGTGCTGACAGCTCAGGGCCTGGAGCCTGCTTCGAATTCTGTGTCTCCCTCTCTCTATGCCCCTCCCCAGCTTGTGCTCTCCCTTAAAAATAAATGGATAAACATTAAAAAATAAAGCCACAGAAACGTGATTCTTAAGAGAGTGGAGAGAGACCAGCAAAGTCACAGGCGCTCCCACCTGTGGAGGTCAGGAAAGGAGATGGCAGAGCCCCCTGCAGGGGAGAAGGGTGACAGCAAGTCCAGGACAAAGTGTTTCAGGAACGGCCGGTCAGCGTTGGTCACCTTTGCCGAAAGTTGCTAAAAAGTGGAATAGAGTGACGCCTGGAAATAATGACCACGGATTGCGGCCACGGGAAGGGCATTAGTGGCCTTGGCGAGAGCCTTTTTTGGAGGGATTAATGGCACTGGTGGGAGCAAGTGGAAAAGAAAGAGAAGACAGCTGTGGGGTTGGGCGCGAGGGATTCTTGAGAAGTTTCGCTGGAACTGGAGACCGAGGCACTATTTTCTTTTAAGGTAAATGTGGATGCATGTGTACTGGTGAAGAGATGGGGTGGGAGGGAAACGGACGAGATTGGAGCGAGGTGAAAAGGTCGAGGAGGAAAGCTTTCGAGAAGAGGGATGGGATCCCAGGCATACGTGGAGGCCTTTGAAAGGAGAACAGGTTCTGCCTCCACGAGAACTGGACGAAAGATGCGTGGAAGCACGTTTGGGCCAGAAGTTTTGGTGACGGGAAAAGGAGAGTTGTACGGGACGGCTTCTCTTTTTTGCGAGGAGGAGAAGGCATGAAGTGGGCGCAGCCTGTTTGGAGAGTGTGGGAAGGATGTGGTAGCCGCTGGAGAGGAGCACGCCGGGAATAGGAAGATCGCCAGGTGGTGGTGAAGGCCCGGTTGAAGCTGGGAATGGCTCGTGGGTTGGCACCAGTTGTGCCAGCATTTTTTTCTTTCTAGCAAGCCAGGCGGTCTGGTGCAGACTGGAAGTGAGTGGTTACCGTTTGTCCGGTCGAGAGTGTCCCAAGACCAGAGGCTGTTCAAGTGATTGTTCCGGTGGGATCTAAGTGGATAGAGGCGGCACGGAGACAGGAGGCTGGTGGAGAGAGAAGGGCAAGCTGGGTCAGGAGGTCTGTGAACCGGCCACCTCTTGAGTTTCAAGAGCATCTTCAAAGGGACATTTAAGCACGAGCCGTAGAGGGGCACTGTGTTTGTACAGTGGGATATCTGATTCATGATTCGAAGGTCATATGGGTGCTTGTGATAAGGTCCAGGATGTTGACGGCAGGAAGTCCTTGGCCAAGGCGGAGTGGAAAGAAAGTCATTTTGACCAGGGAGGGCAGTGTTTGCTAAGGGATGTCTCCTCTTTGGGAAAGGGGGCAGGGGTGTATTTACTCATGGAGAGCAGTAGGTTCATTCTGCAGTCAGTCACCGGTGACCCCTCCATAGAAACGTTCTCCCTTTATCTCGTCCGCCTGACATGATTAAACAGCACATATGCTGGAGACGCCGGTCGCCCACAATCCAGAACTTTTTCTGAAGGAAGTTCCAGAAAATCATGGCTCTGGCGAGTGGGTCTCTTACATGTCCTCTATCAGGACAGGGATAGTCTTGGAGGTCTCTGGAACCGGGGGGTGACTGGACAACATCAGGCAGAATGGAGCACGTTTTCACGTGTGATTTCACTTTATATCTTGTTCTGGTTGCTACTTGGGGGGCTTTAAAATGAACATCTCGAACATAGAAGAATTAAGGTTTCCTAATGGTGCTTTTGGAGAGCTCTTAGCTGAGACGCAAAAATGTCTTTTTAGGGAGTACAGGTGGGGGACCATAACAAGGGGTAATTGTCGCAATTTTGCTTAATGAGTAAGGGACAGGGGCAGAGGGTTTCTTGGCTCTGCTGTTTTAAGAACGGGAAAACCTTTAAGGAGAATTGTTTCTCTGAGTTAAACTGTGGGTATAAAAATAAGGCAGGTATATAGAAAAAACCCTTTGTTGCAGTAGTGAGAGCCAGAAAGCATGTAAGTGTGACACAGGTTCAAAGCAGATACTTCACAGTTTCCAGTCAGTTTGACTCTAATTGTTCCTCCCTTCCCCCTTCTAGGTCAAGCAGCTGCAGGAGGAAACCCCACTCGGCGGTCCCAACACTGAAGCTTTGCCCCCGGCCCGAAAGGAAGGCGATTTGCCCCCCCTGTGGTGGCATATTGTGACCAGGCCCCGGGAGCGGCCCATGTAGAGAGAGAGGAAGACGCCTCGCCTGTCACGCTTGCGAGTGAAATAAGTTACAGAACGGGCACACATGTGCCGTAATAAAAATAACTCCACGTGGTGTGACTGATGTGTTCCTCTGCGCGTTAACGTGACACCAAGCGGCTGTGCCGCTGTCGTCTCCTGCCACCTGTGCCAGAAGTATGCGGAGTGTGGTCAAGTGTCCCCTGCCCCAGGGAGTCCTGTCGATAGCGCGTATCATCAGGGACGGCTGCACAGAACCAGATACAGGAGTTACTCTGAAGATGAGTCACAGGCTCCAGTTGAAGGCTCAGGGGCTGCAATACGAAGTCTAGGGAAGGGGTGTGAGGATTGAGGGCTTGAGATACCATTTTTGGTTTTCTAAAGGTGCCAAGAATGAGATTTTAGGTGGTTAAAAGAAAACCTCGAAGCAGCACACACTCAAGTATGATGGAGTTTGTGGGGTTCACGCAGGATTGGAGGTTTGGGGGTTGCAGTGAAAGGGTCCAGTCTGAAACTGTGACACCTATTTTGGAGGCAGTGTTGCAGCCTTGCTTCCTCTCCTGTGGCCTGGATTGTCACCGGGAAGGGGACGGCAGCACTCTTTATATGTTGGAAGAAGCTTCTCTAAAAGCTAGAGCCATTTTTAGCATCATCACCCAACCCACCTGCTTTTAGTTTGTGATAGCTCACTAGAACTGTGTTCACATAGTTCATCGATTGAGGCAACTCGTGTTCTCGGGGGTTCACGGCCATGACAAAAAGAACGTTCTGTGGGTGTTCTGAGTAAGCCCAACCGGAGTCTCCGGGTGTCTTCTAACCGCTAAGACTTGCGACTGAGTTTTAAGAAGTCTTGAAATACCGTTTTTTGTTTTCTAGTGGTTCTTTATTTATAATGTAGGCTGAAGCAATTGTTACAAGGTAGAAGGGAGACACATTACACAATTGTTATTTATACAAGTTTAGAACAAAAAACTGCACAGGGAGAGGTCAACTCTCAGTACAAACTAGCAACTAAACCACAATAATTTACCTTGAGAAACGATTTCTTTATTTTTAGCTGTGACACTGCTTTTACAATATGCAAAAACACAAACAGAACTACCCAAGGTGTTTTGTCACATTCTTTCTACATTGAATTTGGCAACATTTTATATTAAATTTATTCAGATTATACTAACGTTTAAAAACTAAACACGTGAAAAGCTGTACCAGGGTACAGTCACATCCGTTTATTTCGAAGGTTTAAAATACCACTTTTATCTATTAATTACCTTGCAGTGATTTCTGCTTTTGCAAAAACCATCTCAAGCATCATATGCACAATGCATCAGCTACTTTTAGTCATCAAGATTGGTGGGCTAAACCACAGGCACTACTGTTGCTTATATTCTGTAGAAGGAGCTTGTTTTTCAAAGAAAAAAAAGCTTAAATAGTTTCTAATAATCATGCCTTTGCTTTAAAGCCGTAACATAAAATGCCCTTGAGCAATCACAGCAGTGTTAAATGTTAATATACAGAACAGTGACTATACAGGTACGTTACTCTCACATCCAATGCACTTATGTATTAAAGCATAAGATTATGTAATTGAAGATTAGAGCCAACAGAAACCTGCAGGGTCTGGGGGACCCACCAAGCTCCTGTTCGTTCAGAGGAACGGACCCAATTGCTTAAGGGACCTGCTTGGTTTTTTCAAACCCGGCTGTCTTCTGCAAACAAGATCCCTTTTAAACCTACAAATCTCGGTTGGCTTTAGGGAATGGGCATTAGAACAAATCGAACTTTCACTTAAAGTAAGAAAAGACATAAATCCATTCCAAAAACATTACCTAGAATACAAAAAAAGGGACAGTATAGTGGCCAGATTCCCAGTGACAATAAATAAATCCTCCTCTCTTCAATGTTTGGTATGATGCCAATTCACTGCCATTTGTTGAAAAGAAGATAAGAAAAACAAGCCCCCAGACTGGTAAACACATTGGCAAGTTGCTAGATTCCAAGCTGGTTACCCTTGTTAAATCCGCTCGAGTTTTTTCAAAATATTTGGGCTTTTCAACGCGCCCAGCCTGCTGGGCACAGTTAAGTAAAAGGCATTTATTTGCTATATCTAAGAATTCCCTGCTCTCATCATTTTAAAATGTTCTTCACATTTTTAAAACTGCCTTACCCTTTTTGGACGCATTTGGATCCCATGAAAGTGGGTACAAGAGACGAGTAACTGAAGTGGGGGGTTCTAGGTCTAACCGGCGGCAGCAGCATGCACGGGATTGGAGGTGGGTGCTGTGCAGTCAAGAGGAATCGTGGGAGAAAGGAAGTCCTTAAACACCCTACAGAAACAGACACTGCAATCCAGTATGGCTTGTTCGGATGCATTTACCATGAAGATACTAGAAATTCAACCTACAAGGCTACTCTTAAATGTTAACAGGATCGGCTATGTTGACAGTGTGCCCCTCCCACGGCCCTCCCCCCAATCCCAACAGAGTCTACCATTTCCAGATTCACTTCTCTCTGAATATTGCTCATCAATTGTTACTCCTGCTTTTCTCAGCCAGAACATACTACGTTTAAGTGAAGATTTTACCCCTTTATCCATTTTGTTTGTACATTAAAATAACTTGAATTTGCTTCTAAGCCAGACTACTAACAATGCATCTACAAAAGCTTGCAGGAAAAAGAAAAGAGAGAAAAGAAAAAGCGAAGTATAGTTATCCTTTTTTCTGAAATTAACTACTTCGTGGTTCCCCTGCCCCGACCACCCCCCGCCCCATTATGCATTTAAAATTTTACAAAGACTTGTAAAAAAGTTAAATGGAATTTGGCACCTTCAGAAAAATCAAAAGGGAAACTAAGATTAAAATGTGCAGAAAGAAAACTGTCAATATTTACAAATTAAAAGATCAAAGTTATGTCAGTTACGTATGTTGCTTTTAATTCTTAGCTAAAGGTGTCGAGTACTTTCAAAAGAGCTGTATTCTGAGTTGCCTACAAAATCTTTTGTTTGATTACAGATTGGAATGGATCGAGACAAATTAGGTTTTATGAATTAAACAGTTCCTTCCCCACTGGCAGCATTTCTTGGGAGCCTAAGCGAGCCTACGAGAAGCGAGGGGCTGAGCGGTCGTTTGTGGTGGTCTTCTTCAGTTTCACGCCCCTTCGGATGGCGTTCAGCATGTCTTCCCCTTGCGGAGTATCTCTCGGGCTCAGGTCTGCAGCGTCACTCTCTGGAATCTGGCCTGGGGAAGCAGTGGCACTTGAGGGATCCCTTTCCTGGTCTTCGGCCTCGCTTTCTGGAATCGCCTGTCTGTGCTCCTCGGGGATACTGGGCTTCGGGCCTGGAAGAGGAGGGTTGACGGAGGCTTGGCCACTCCACATTGAGGAGGGCATGCTGGTGACACCCTGGGGGCCCTCACCCACAGAGGGCGACTCGGGGCTGTGCTCACCCCTCTCCTCTGGCCCATCCGGAGGTGCCGGCAGCACCCCGGGGAGGTCTGGGACGGTTGGGGTCTTGACAGGGATCACGGGTGTCTTGATGGGGATGGGACCGGCTCCGATGGTCCCCCGGCGGACAGAAGGCTTGGTGGAGGGGGTCCGTCGGATGGTTGCAACCCCTGGGGTGACCACAGCAGGTCCGAGGGTGGTGGGGAGGCCAGCAGTTGAGGCCGGGCGCTTGGCTTGGAACATCCGTCGGTAAGACTGGCTGATGTCACTGTTTCTCGGAATGGTGGATGATTTGTCAAACTCCTGCTGGTCTGCCTCCTGGTCACCGCTTACAGAGAAATAATCATAATCTGAAACTGATGACAAGGTTTGATTAGGAATCTCCAAGGCAGCAGCTTTGCTTTTTGATTCTTTTGTGCTAGAGGACAAAAGGCACGAGAGGCCAGGTGCTTTACCCACAGCCTCATCCCAAGCACCTCCCCCAATCTCCACACCGTCCTTAGAGGCCCCCAACGTCTGAGAACTGCCCCCCAACCCCGCCACCAGGCAGGGATCTTCGTCCTGCTCCCGATGTAATCCTGGGCCCTAGAACGGGGCTGGACGTCACAGGCACACACGCGATCCTGTTGAGCGGTGAAGCATGCCCGAAGGCCGGGCCACATCAGGGCTACCCACCCAGCTGCTCTGGGAGGAATAAAGGAGGTGAGCGGGAAGAGGAAAGAAACTCCACAGACCCTCCAGCCCGGAATTTGACAAGAGAAACAACCCTTAGACAGACGATCGCAGGCCTTACTCTCTCATAAGGGACTCGCCAGGCGAAGGCTGGAAAAAGAACGGAGCTACTGGCAACGAGCCCCTGAAAACAGGTACAAAGACAGGCTCCGTCCGCGAGGTGTGTGTATGTGCTCTCAACACTGGGGTCACACGGGAGGCAGAAGCACACAGAGTGAACGTCTTTGAGCGGGTTCCTGAACAGCAGCACCACCGGCATCTGGGGCCAGGCGAGAGGTTTGTTGCGGGGACAGGGGGCCGTGCTGTGCATTACACGATGTTTAGCGGCATC